TAGGAAAGCCCTACTTGATTGTATCTGAAGAGCACCAGAACCAGGTACAGTCTGAAGAACTTGGATGGCTCCTGCTTTCTGTTCTGAAGAGGAAGAACACAGCAGCACACAGCACAGGAGCTGTTGAGCCTTGGTTCTCTCCTCCCAGACTCTCCCTTCTCAGTTTAAGTCCAACCCTTTTCCTGGAGTTTATTAATGCAAGGGTGTGGTTTTACATTTTGCATTTATTACTTCATATTCTAGCCTCTGCTGTTAGAGCACTGATGCTTCCTTACCTTACCCACCCCTATTTTTCTTGGTGTTTTCAGTAAAGGTAATTTGTGGGCAAATATTCTCAAAGTAGGCTAAGGACAGCCTAACCACGTCTCATGAACTGATGGTATTTTCTCCTGCCTTAAAGTCTCAAATCTGCACTACAGAAGTGGGACATATGCCATATATTAAATGAAACCGACATGTAGATGGCTTATGTCCAGCTAGAAACCCCCATGGGCCAATAAAACCAAACAGAGGAGGTGATGGTCTAGAAACACCTTGCTGCCTCTGAAGATGAAGGGTTTAATACTGAATTAATAAATAATGCTACTTAACATTTACATAGAGTATATGTTATCTTGCTGATCATACAGCAGATAGCAGGGGCAAGGGGTGTCACTGGACTCAGGGCAGTAGCTAGCATTGAGTTGCTTGCACAGAAATTAAGGTACATGGATATTCCATCAGTTTTCCATAACATATTATAAAGAGCATTAAGTGACCATGTTTTCTTTGCTGGATTATTTCCCATTTGTCAGGGCAGATCAGCTGATACATCCTCCATAGAAATCACTGAGAATATTTCTACCTGAAAATTCAGGTGTGGGTGGGCAAAAAGAGAATTTTCCTGAATTTGGGCAGAAAGGCTAAATACTAGAATTTTAGCTAAAGTGAGCAAAAATCAGGATGTGGCCTTGTGCAACAAGCACTACAACAGTTGCCCTTTAGGGACCTGCTACAGGAAGGACTGATTGTGCTGCTTGCTTTGGGAGTCAGTTTGTCACCTCTATGTTCTGCATATATATTTGTAAATCAATGTCTGACAGAGACACGGTTGGTCAGCTGACTTTCCCTCAGTATAAAGAATAACACATATAAAACATACTGATCTGGGATGACCCCCTTCCCTTTAGAAAAAGAATGAAAGAAGCATATGCACCCCTAAACATGCTATGCATATACAACAGACAGCTGCAGTGTACAGTGCTTCCCTATCAAGTAACCTTTGGGATTGTGCTTCTTGCATTACATTAAGGAACCTCTGGTTTCATAGCCCTAAGACAGCTTAGGACAATGAAATGTTTCTTAAGGTGTTTCCAAATGGAGCACTCCTAATGTTACCACTTAGAACACATTGGGCAGCTTTTCTTTTTGTTCTTGATGGAGTTTCTGCGATAAAAAAGAAGAAGAAACAGGTAAGAAAACAGAGGGTTATGAGTAAAAGACATTGTCTAGTCTCACTGTACATACTGTGAATAAGGTAGGATGGTGGCATGATAAAAACATCTGGAAACATCCTTAAGTCTTATAGCACTGTCATATTTTTAAAGTGTCAGCAGCAGCACTTGATAATGTATGTGCATCTGATTTTCTGTATCCATATCAGCACCAAGATAGCTGTTATATGCAACTGCTGGCTAGGAAAAGGGAATACAGAAGGGACAATCCAAACTGTACCCATCAGAAGTAGGCTAAACACATAGCTGCTGAGTATACAGCCTGCAGCCATGATCCCATCACCAGATATGTTCATTCTCCATAGATGAATGCCAGTGTATTTGCAAATAAATGCAATTATTAGAAAACTTCTATTTAAAGGAAACAAAACCCCAGAATAAGTACTGGGACGCCTGACATTTCACTGTTTGGAAAGATATAATGATGATGTACTGTGCAAAATTCATTCTTCCATCTTAATGAAGAAAAATATCTTTAGAAAGAAGAAGCATATTTTCTTACAGAGCTGTTGAACCATGTTTAAGATGAGGAAACTATTGAATGGGGGGAAGAGCATGTGTTTTAATGCAAACTTGCACTTCCAACCCGACATAGAAACAAAACTACATTATCTTTGGAAATCTGCACTTTTCCAAATATTACAATAAAATTCTCCAATCACAGAATGCATATAAAATGTGCATCTTAAGAGAAGATGTGAACAAAATGTGTATGTTAGTGAAAACATGAAAAAGGCATTATATCAGGAAAACTATGTGCAAACGTGAATATACAAAAGCATATACAAAAATGTGGATCAGGAGAAATGCGCACAGAAATGTCTATGAATTTTCATGAAAACTCTGAAACCTTCATAAAAATCAAGTTGAACAATATTTAAGATAGAAAAGTTAAAACAAAACCCTGAAAAAACCAAAACTGACAGTTTCATCAATCCCTAGCAAGTATGTTTGTTTATTGACAAGGTCTATATGCTGCACTGCATCTAAAAAAAATTCAAGCAGTAAACAATAACAATACTACTACCAATAATAATAAAAATATAACATTAAAAACTTTAAAATCAGATTGCGCCAATCTAGTTGGCTTCTTTTTCTGGGAAAGCTTATTTAAATACAAATGTTTTTAGTAGAGGTCAAAAGCAAAATAATGTTAGTGCCTGGCAGACTTTTCTAGGCAGAGAGTTCCATAGTGATGGGGCTGGCTTCACTGAAGACCTGGACTCCAAGAAGACTGCAAATGGATTGCAGGGCCATGATGAATCACCAGAAGTGGCTCATCTGAAGAATTTACCATGATAAAGGAGAAGGCACTGCCTCAAATTGAGGTAATGGAGAATACAAAGTTAGTGCAGTGACAGCACAATGTTGTAAGATTCCTTCTCTCTGTTCTGCCAGTGTGAGAAGCTTCATTACAGGAAATTTGAGAAAGACCCCTCAGTGCTGATCCTGGCTGCAGAAAACCCTACTAAGGAAAGCCAGGCTACTTCCATCTCTCTCTCTCTATATATATATATGCTTGGAAGAGATGGTAAAATTCTGTCTGAATAAAATACTTAAGCTGATTGGTTGCTCAAGTAGATTTTTATCTGGTGGGCCCTATTTATCTCTTTCTTTATTATGTGCTTTTTTTCCTTTTATGTTTAATGAATTTTACAGTACATGTTATTTTACCGTACTGAGTGCTATTTGTAGTAGTAGTAGAAAAACAGAATATAAATTTAATAAAGACACCAAAACATTATTATTAATAAATGTTGGCAGATTCCAAGGAAATGTATACAGAAGCAGTTTTACTTGCTCAGAGCCATAGGAACAATGATATTAGGCAAAGAGATAACTAGCATACAAAATGGTATCTAAGGTATAACTAACTGCATCTCCAAGCCCTATCAAAATTACCCTTTGCCAGTTCTCTAACTGGATGTTCATTGCTTCTTTCATATGGGGTAGTTCACCTCCATGTATTCAGCCCCTGATGGTTGCCTGCAGCCTTAAGTGCCACTTTCCATGAGGCACCACAAGTGCATGAGCCATCATTGCCATTCCAATGCAATGTGTTGCAATCAAGTCCGTTCATACACCAGTAGTTATTAACCATGAAGCAATCAGAAACCATGCAAGTGTAAAAACAGCAGTTTAGAAGAAGGTATGTGTGGATTTGCCAGCAACTCTCCAAGAACTGAAGCAGGGTCTTTCCTAGCCATAGTCCCTGGAGATACTTGAAAAGAAGATGCAACTTGCTCATACTGGACCTTTCTTAAGCATAACCTCTTGTTTATGTTGCCCACCACCTGGTATTGACAAGCCTTGGTTGTCATGGCTAATAGCCACAAATAGCCTTATTCTATGCTGTGTCACAAAGCATGTCTAAAGCATTTAAAGTAACAAACAGGAGCAGTCCTTCAGCAAGAAAGGGAAGGGAATTGATCTGTGATTACAGAGGTTCATTCTAATAAATACACAATACAGTTATCATAATTCAGTTAATTCATAAGCTCACTCAATACCTATGCATAAAGGACCATCTTCCATACCACTTGAAGGTACATTGAGCCATGCAGGTTGCACTAGCTATGTCATGCAACTTTGCTAGGAAACATCCTCAGATCCAGCATCAGATGCTAGTGACCTGAACAATTCCCCTGAAACCATTCTGCTGATGGGGAGGGTCACTGGTAGTTGCTCATTTAGCTAATCAATGAGTGTTCAAATCCTCTTTTTGGTGGGAAGAATCTTTCAGGGGGAAAAATCTGAGAAATGCCAGGTGTTTCCTAACATCTAGCCCACTCACAAGCAAAATACTTCCATGCCCTGCTTTATATAGGGTGTCTGGTAACCAGGCACAAGACTGGGACTGACTGCACCAAAGAATGATAAAACTCCTTTTGGAGAAGGAACAACATCAACCTAAATAATACTTCATGTGCTTCATGTTGCAGTCATTATTAGTCTAAACTGAGAGGTGAAGGCTTGCCTAAGGCTACCTGGCAACATTCACACTAGAGGCAAGATTTGCACCATGGAAGTTTTGACCTACAGATTTCAATTTTCACATGCTTGCTGCCCTTCAAATGTGTCAGATTATGTCTCCCATCATTACTGATGACTGGACATGGTGGCTCAGGCTGATGGCAATTGAAATCCAAAATATCTGGAGGGCAGCATGTTGAAGAAGGCTGGTTTAGGTACTCAGTCTTGTTATATTAATACAAGACATGTCACGCTGTATCAGGCCCCAGCTCCACCAGCCCAGCATTTTGTCTCCAACATGTGCCAGTTGAACTCTCAGGCAAAGCATGAAGGTGCCTTCCCTTGCCATTCATTTCTACCACTGGGTTGTACTCAGAGGTCCTGAACATGAGAGACCCCACCACACCGGTAGAAAACACATAGAGTTTTTTAATGCAAGCTTCCCATTACCATTAATTCTCATTGTACAAAACCATCAGACAGGCAAACTCAGAACCTGAGATCTTAGTGGAACAAGTTAAAAATGCATATTACCTTTTCTGACTGTCTCCAAAAGCAGTACATCCTGTTCTTTGTTCCTTCGTGTCCCATTTGTTAATCCAGTAATGTGCGTAAACCACATACACAAACACATACAAATAAGGACTATGATCATTCCAGAGGACAGCCCTTTGCCCCCAAGCCAGGGTTTAGTGGATAGGCCTGCATGAACGAGACAACCTTACATCACTGTCTATCATACCCTTGCTGCTTTGAAGACAAGAATAGAGCTGAAGAAAACATGCAGGGCTTTGAATTCAGAAGAGCTGCCTTGAGGATCGGGTAATATGTATCAAGAGCTAGCCTGAGAAAATGTTCATAGGCAGCAGGATGTTCAAAAGCCACTGTTGCTGCTGGTTCTCCCCCAACTTCCTGAACCAGAACAGGAGGACAGGGAAATAAAGGATTTTGATTCTGTTCACTTAAAGTTCCTTGGCGAGCCACTCCTTCATTGTGCTTAAGCGGAAGCCAGAGTATTGGGCAACTCTGAAGATCTAGTCTAAACACCCCATCCATGACTAAGTTAAACTAAACGCATACACTTTATTTGAGGTTACTTCTCTCTCCCTCCTTCCCCCCCCACCACCCTTCCACCCCTTTATGACATCATTATCAGTATCAGGAAATTTCAACACAGCTGTAATCTACAGCCTAACATTAGCAGCTGCAGTAGACAGTGGGGGAGGAGACAAGAAACAACAGTTAGTGAATAGAAGAATTTCCCTGCTGAAGCCTTGCACAAGAAGCCTGACACAGACTTGGAAGCTTTATTTACCAGCACTGAGATTAATTTTGAACAGAAAAATAGGAGAAGGTTTTATGTTTCTTCTAGTGCATCTTTAAGCCTGCAAACAGCTTTCCTTGCTTTCATCATGTGATTGGATCCAGGTTGTGACTAAGCTGGCTCTTTCTGCTGTTGCCTAAGCATAAAATGGCCATGCTCCTCCTTCCTTTCTAAACCACTCATAATTGCCTGTCTGGATGAGAACTGGTGCTGAGTAAATTCACGGAAGGAGAGAAGACTCTTCAGCAGTCTGCAGTGGTTGTGGAGTACAGTGCAGATGTAAACAGCAATCTCCAATGGGAGCAGAGAGGTGATACAAGCATCCCAAAGTACATTATGTATAAGTACAATTGTTTTGTTATGGCAAGAATGCACAACAACACAATCTCTTCCAAAAGTTCAACTGTATGCATGAATACAGAAAGGGAGCTGAATAAGCAAAAGCTCTGCACATCAAGATTTAAGAAAGATGCAGAAAAATGAGAAAGGGTCCAGGGGAAGGCAACAAAAATAATCCAGGGTTTGGAAACACTGCCCTATGAGGAGAACTGGGAATGTTCATCCCTGAGAAGAGAAGACTGAGTGGGGACATGATATCCCTCTGTAAGTACCTCAAAGGTTGTCACAAAGAGGTATGTCAAGATCTCTTCTTGCTGATGCCAGAGTGTAGGACACAGAATAATCAATTCAAGCTGTGGCAACCCAGATTCAGGCTGGACAACAGGAAAAATACTGTCATAGCAATAAGTCAGTGGAATCAGCTGCCTAGAGAGGGGGTGGGCTCTCCCACACTAGAGACATTAAAAAAGAAACTGGACAGCCATCTGAGTGGGATGGTGTAAGCTGGTGTCCTGCAACAGCAGGGGGTTGGACCCAATGGCCTTCATGCCCCCTTCCAACTCTACTATTGTATGATTCTAATTTCCTAGCCATGGGTAAGAGCTGAAAATTATTTATGGTGGTGTAACACTCATGGCAGATCCATTCCTTGCTCCAGGCCAGGATTTCAGTATGTTCTGGGTTAAATTTCATCCCACCACCTATATTTGACTGACAGCAGAAAGTTGAATTCTGAAAAGAATTGTGGCCCACCTGTGGCTGTTCATTAGCAAGTCACTGTAGAATTAAGCTCTGCACCTTTTGAGTTTAGGCCACAATGCATGGAAACAGCTCAGGTGATTGTTGCATGTTGGGAACAGTAGGCTTTTTTGTGTCTAAACATGCATAGGAATCAGCCATTAGCAATATTTCCAGAAGTCCCAAGCCTCTGAACCACATGGGCACTGATGCTGTTCCTTTTCAGCGCTGAACTGACCTGCTGAGCTGTCTCCAAAGAGGATCAGTCGGATGACATAAGGATCAATCCAACTCTTTAATTTTTTTCTAAGCAGAAATATTCACATTCTTTGATACATAGATACAATCTGCTTACTCTTTTACATATCAACAATTTATCGAGTTTACTAGGGAAAATGTGACCACTTGCTCCTTATTTACTCAGCCATCTTGTGGCAACTTTAAATAATTACAATTACTGAAATTGCAATACAATTATTTAGGTACAGTGGTAGCTTGGTTCACGAACTTAATCAATTCCAGGACCCTGGTCGTGACCCAAATTGGTCGTGCCCAAGTTAAATTCCCCCATAAGGTTCAACGTAAATAAGGTTAATCAGTTCTGTAACTATTTTTTCAATGTAAAGCAAAGTGACAAAGAACAACAAAGATCATGGCCATCTCCCCCACCCCCTGAGCATGAGCGTGGCCATCTCCCCACCCTCCTAGCACGACCACGATCGCGCCCCTCATCCCTGCACATGCCCGTCATTCTACGCGCAGGGGGAGGGAAAGATGGGCACAAATGCGGGCACGCTGGGAGGGAGAGAGATGGGCACGAACGCAGATGCGCTGCGGGGGAGAGAGAGGGACACGATCGTGCTGAGAGGGAGATGGCCGAGATCGCAGTTGTGCTCCTACAGGAAAAACGGGCGCCCGTGAGTACGGGCGCCCTCCTGGAGGAAAGACAGGCATGATCTCGGCCGTCTCCCCCCTGCCCCCAGCATAATCGCGGCCATCTCCCCACTCGGGGGCGGGGGGGATGGGGAGACAGCCTTGATCATGGTCGCCACCCAATGCAGAGTTCGTGACCTGAGTTAAAATTTTTATGAAATTTTTGTTCGCGACCCAATTTGGTTGTGAACTGAGGCGTTCGTGAGCCAAGGTACCACTGTATAGGCAAAAGCAGCAGAGTGATTCTTTTCTTTTACCATTTGTCTTCACCTAGTATTCCTTAGTTATTTCACAAAAAGCTGGGTTTCATCAGTCAAGGACAAATCCTGGTTTAAAGAAGCCAGGATTGTGTTTGGGTGATATGCAAAGCAAATAATTTCTAGCTTCTTTAACAGCACTCAGCGGCAGGAAAAACTGAAAAGGAGCCAATGGGTGCATGCGACTCATTCACAAGACGCCAGCATTCTCCAGTGTCCTGCCCTATGATTCCAGGCAAACATGGCCACTCTTAATTATAAAGTGCTGAAATCAAATATTAAATAAAATTAATATAAACAAAAATATTGTTACTTGTGAATACTAAACAAATGCTTTGAGATGATTCAGTATACATTTACATTGGAATCTGTAAAGGGGAATGTTGATAGCAGATGCCTTTCAACTGTAGCAAGCAGAAACCCCCAACCTTCCTCTAAAAATTACAGCAGTGATTGTCCACAAATGCCATCACAAATTAATTCATAGAGCCCACTTTCAAAATTCCCATGATATGTTCCCTTTTGCATGATATTCTATATGTCATATATATCCAGACATTTTGTGAATGCGTCATAGAGTGGAGTCTCCAATAAATCCACCAGAACAAACTCTAAAATCCACTTACTATGCCATTGTGCTTACTGAGAAGTTACATTGTTGAACAGGGATTAATTTTTCCTGTCCAAAGAAGGTTCAGGTTGATGTATTTTGTTCCATGCACCTCCCAGGACTGCCAATGTAGTTTTAAACTGGCTTCACTTGTTTGAATCACCCCTTTATTTGCTATTTTTAGTATCACCTTAGTATTGGGCAATGCCTATTCACAACTACATATATTTAAATATATTCAGTTTTGCAATTTAGTCCCACACAGGTTTTCTGAGGTGGATGGCAACCATATTATCACATTATTAGAATAGCAAATTAGAATGAAGACTAAAGTGTGTGATCTTATGTACACTTAGGCAGGCAATGAAGACATGGCTGTCTGTTCCAAAGAGTCTTAGGGCTTATATATATATATAAGTGGGGAGGCCGGCAAGGCCTCCCTGGGCCCCGCCCTCACAGCCTTTGCCCTCCAAACAGGTGAGAGCTGTGCTGGACGGGCAAGCGGGCACCAATTGTGGCAATTGCGGGGGAGGAACCGCAGTGGAGCCCTCTTATTGCTGGCTGCAGCCAGGGCCAGTGGCTGAAGGGTGACAGACAAAGGGCACAGCTGTTTGGGTCCATTCAGGGCTGTAAGGGCTGGGCTTGGCCAGGGGCTCTGGTCAAAATTTTATTTTTATTTTATTTTTTTCCTTTTCTTTGTAACTGTTGTTTATTATTTAGATTTTAATTTGGAATGGATGTATCTGGGGAGCACGCAGGCACCACCATTGGGGTGGTGATGGGCAGGGGAAGAGATGGCGTTGGGGGTCTAACAGGCCAGCATAGGAGAAGGAGGGACTAATGTCTGATATCTGTCCCATCTTCTGGTTATTCCCCCAAGCAGAAAGTTCCTGGCAGTAATATCAACCGTCCCCTGGGCCTGACGGTGCTGCTATTGAATGCCAGGTCAGTTCATAACAAAACAGCCCTCATACACAATTTGATTGTGGATGAGGAGGCTGACCTGGGCAGGAGAAGGGGGAGATGTCTCCCTCACTCAACCATGTCATCCCAGATATCTGATGCAACACTGGCCACACCCAGGGGGAAGGGGAAAGGGGTTCTTCCTGGTTTAGCGAGACTCAATCTCCCTCACGGTGCTTCTTTTTCCTTCGAGACTGGGCCTAGCATGTCTGTACCTGATGTTGAGCAATCGAGACAGATTAGGGATTCTGCTGGTATACCATGCACCCTCCTGCGCAGCGGACTCCCTGCCTGAGCTGACAGAGGTCGTCTCAGACCTGGTATTGAGAATCCCTAGGAAGTTGGTCCGGGGTAACTTCAACTTCCATGCCAAAGTGGTTCTGCCTGGGGAGGCTCAGGACTTCATGGCCTCCACGGCAGCCATGGGGCTGTCTCAACATGTCACTAGCCAAACCCATGAAAGAGGTCACACTCTGAACCTAGTTTTCTTGATGGGGCAGGAAGAGAGTGGTCTGGAAGTGAGGAATCTGATCTTAACTCCTTTGTCATGGTCAGACCATTTCCTCATGAGGTTTGAGCTCAGGGCTGATCTCTCTCTCTGGAAGGGTGTAGACCCCATTAAGATGGTCTGCCCCCAGAGCCGGATGGATCCTGATGGATTCCTGAGGGCTCTGGGGGATTTCCCAGTGGATAAAGCTGGCGCTCCTGTTGATGCCCTGGTCAATCTGTGGAATGGGGAAATGACCAGGGCAATTGATACAATCGCTCCCAAGCATCCTCTC